GTGATTGTGATGAACATTCTGCAATTTGGCAATGCAGCTATGGCACTCTTCGCCATTGTGGCTTCCCCTTTCAAGGCGCGATATTTAAAATTCATTGGTCATGAAATGAGGATACATCGATATTATAATTAATTCTCAATCGCACTCTCATATTTTATTATTTCAATAAGATAGTCAATGATTTTCACTTAATAATGACTAATACATATGTTTACATGGCATTATTAAGTATTTATAACAAAGCTCGCAAAGCATTTTAGGTTCGATATGCGCTTTTATATTTATGGCACCAGGAACCAGGATGTATCTACTAATAAATTACATCACCCAAACACTTATCATCATCATTCGGACGTTCTCTATTTGGAAGATTACAATTTAAATTTATGATAAAATGCCACATCACATCCACGACTTTTCCACGAGTATAAATAACCAACGCAGGTACAGATGCAGGTATTTGCGGTCACTGTTTCACGTGGATAAAACGTGCCTCATCGACCAGTGACGTGCTGCACCGGATCTCCACGTTTTATCGACGTTTATCGATTATATTATAAGAATACAGGAGGAAATTGTAACAAACTAATATGTTTACGTTAATTAATCGGTTAAGTGACTGCAATATAACCGGATTTTATTTGCGACAGCGGAAATTGGTATAGAGGTGTACACACGTCGTAATATTCACGTTTTATCCACGTGGTGTGGTTATATCGGACAAATTTAAGCGAAATTTGGTCCATAACTGACGTCGAATAAACGTAGGATTTTCCCTAAATTTCAACTTAGACCACGCCACTGTACAGACGTACACGTTGTAGGCTCGCTGCTGGTGATCCTTAATGTTTTTAGGACTGCATAAGAATGAAAGAGGTAGGAGAATATCCCCAGCGTTGCCAACTCTTTAAAATAGTTTCTGCCAAATAAGTGGTCAACATCTGCTAGATCCGATGTGTATCCGCTAAAAAAAATATTGACAAAAGAAATACCCTTCATTGGTACAGCAAGTCTAAACAAACGTAAATAAACGGTAACAGTAGTTTGGTACTATTGGAAACTTCACACAAAATGCTCACACTTGTACCTGAGATGCTGAGCCTTTTACCAGTTATAAAATAAAGCACACAGCTAGAAAATAGACGGGCACAACCGCATTTGGGTAATTTCTCGATTCCTTGGAATGACTCGTTGCCACATAACTTCTTATGGCATTGTTGCCTAAAATATTAAGAGGCCCAGGGCACTATGAATATATAAGTAATTAATAATTACTATGTGCGTTAACTACATTTACGTATGACAAATATTTACTGTTGAAATTGTTTTTATTCTCAGTTTAATGATCCGCTAAATTCCTTTAAACAAAATTGCTTATTCCGTTAAAAAAACCGCTTTCCGCAATTGCAGATTTTGTCCGCTAAACATGGAACAAAATTGCCTAAATCTAGCGCTAAGTTGGCTACGCTGATTCCAACTGTGTGTCCACCACTTCCCCACTTCCCCTCTTACGCATTGCACTACGCGCCCGCAGTGATCCTATCCCTTTTTAAAGTAGCGCCGACGACCGTCTAAGACCAGACCACTGACCTTTTCTTTTTATCCCCCGATACCTGAAGAGATAACCCTGGTGATTGTGGGAGCCGCGTTAAACAGATGTATAAAAATACAATGTAGAACTGTAGATGGAGGTCATCAGTTCCGAGCTAGCAGCCGTCGCGAGTGTACACTTGTGCGACTGCGACCCACCCGGACTTACTGTGCGATCATATTGCGATTTTCATCGCGATACGATTGCTATCTACGATGGCGAGAATCGAGAAGCTGACAAGCCAGCTAAAGCAGAAATAAGATGCTTTCACCATGCTTGCAGAGCAGATGAAGAACCTGGAAGAGGCTTTCATGCAGGCAAGACAGGAGATAGAGGAAGCCAAAGGGAAGCTCCTCAAGGCGAAGAGGAAGGCAAAGAAGACCCTAGCAGTAGAAGAAGACGAGGACCAGAAGACCACAGCGGACAATGAGATGGTTGCCCAAGAAGTGGACAGCCGACAAGAGCGACACGGACTACAGTGTCGTCACTACGCGGAAGAAAAGAGTAAGGGTTTCCTCCTCCGACGAAGACGATGCACCCAGGCAGCCAAAGAAGCCAGCTGCCACCCAGAAGAAGAGTCCTAGAGAAGCCAGGACCATTGTAGCCACCAGTCAGGAACAGGAGTTCCACCAATCAACATTGACGGCACTGCTGATGATGATCAACAATAAGGGAATCCAATTATCTAAGGCAAGGACGGCGGGAAAGAGTGTGAAGGTGTTTACCAACACACCCGTAGACTACCGGCAGCTAGTTACCCTGCTAGACTCAATGAAGAGGCACTTCTTCACCTACCAGCTGAAGGAGGATAAGTTGGACCAGAGGGTGATTCGAGGACTTACCAGAGAGATGTCTACCGAAGACATCAGAGAAGATCTAGTGAGCCAAGGGATCGCAGACGCCGAGGTTCAACAGACAAAGACCAGGAACACCAAGCAGCCACTACCGCTCTTCCTCGTGAAGACGAGGATGGCGGAAAAGCTGCAGGAGGTCCAGAGGCTGGCCATGCTCACGGTCAGCTTCGAGAAGAAAAAGAGATCGACCGAGCCCAGCCAATGCTACCGCTGCCAGTGGTACGGGCACACGCAGCGAAACTGCCGTCTCGCTGAACGGTGCGTCAAGTGTGGTGAGGACCACAACAGCACCAACTGCAGTCTGCCGACGCCGCCAACAGGGCAACGAAATGCCAAGTACTGCCTTTGAGGAGAAGGACACCCAGCCAACTACAAAGGATGTAGTAAGGCCCCGAGGAAAGCTGCTGCTGCTCCCAAGGCAGCCTCCACCTCAAATAGGACGTCTTACGCTGAAAAAGCGAAGAAAACTAAGTCCACTTCTGCCCCAGCAGCCGCCACTGCTACTGGAACTACGGCGCAGAAGCAACACGGCGATGACAGACTGCTAGCTATGATGTAAGCCATCATAACCCGCCTAGATGCACTCGAGGCCAAGATGCAAGACAAGCATTAGACCAGCAATGACTAGGACCAGGACCTATCAGGACCAGGACCAACCAGGACCAGGACCCATCAGGACCAGGACCAGAACCCATCAGGACCAGGTAACATACAAGTAGCAGAGGACTTGAAACTTTTGATTTTTCGAAAACAAGAGTTTCAAGAGAACATAGCAAACCCTATATCGATGCTCGCTTAACGACATCGATAGATCTGTGCGAGGTAAAGTGAACCAACCCAGCGTTCCCAGAGACTGAAACACATGAGGAGACGTTGTAGCAGACCGCAGGTCACCCACGACACATGGCTTACCGAGACGCTGATGAGTCGGGCCACGCGGAGGTTAGGGTTTAGTGGGTATTAGGTGGTCTCCTCAAGTCCCACACACGCCGTAGCTCGAGCTATGGTATGGTTCATAAACGCATTCCCCCTCACAAAAAAAACAAAAAAAAAATAGATGGAGGTGACACGTTCACCTTCGGCATCTCTACTAATAAGAGCCTTGTGTGCCACGTGTATTTTCAAAATTAATTTCAACAAATCTTTTATGACATAGTCTAGGTTGTCTGTTTAGAAGTTCAATGCACCTTAAAGACAAAAACGTTATACAAATGGAAAGAACACGCTACGCGCGTTGGCGGCATATAGGTAGCATGCGAGTATTGCTGTATATCGCCAACGCACACTGAATTGTGATGGTACTTTTTATTGCAATGTCAATAACATTTGAAATACAAAAAAGTGACATTAGCAAACAAAATTTACATAAAACAGAAATACAAATAATAAACAAAAGTGAAACCTGTATTACTAAGACGTTTACCTTGAATTGTATTTTTTTTAATTTAAAAACACTAAAATTATTAAAAAATAAAGTAACTAAATGAAAAAAATGCAAAAGAACGAATAGAAGTGCACGCTTCCATGAAACTACATACTTTCATGAAATTTTCAGAAACAAGGGGTGAGACAAAGTCCAGGTTCGTTCGGGCATTGTAAACAAAAATATGTAGAATGCTTCCATTGTTTTTGCGCTTCCCAACAATATTTACATCTGCGCCTTTTCGCTTTTCCTTTCAAATCTTTTAAGCAATATTCTGGGAGATGAGAAATCATAGTAGGTGGTTGTGCTTTTGGAGCAGGTGATAACATAATGGATAATAATCTGAAATCGTAAAAGTTTGCTTTCCGGTCGGCAAATTTTTAAGAGTTGTGTGTTTGTTTTCACAAGAATAATACCTTTGCATCTGGTCATTTCGGTCAATACCACCCATACATTTACTATACTCAGCTACCGGTGTTGGTTTTCTTTTTTCTGTTCCTCTTTTGGAAATTACTTTGACCATTTCTCTGTCAAATTCCGTATCAGATAGAATGTCACGCATGTCCTTCCATTTACTACCATCCTTTGTATAATCGAGAAACGCATTCTCCTTTTTCTAACTTTTTAGAAATAACTTCTTCTGGATTTCCAGTTTTATTTGTTCTAAGTGTGCCTGTGTTGTATGTTTTCTCCTGAAGTAATTTTTCCAATAATGCGACACTATGATAAAAATTGTCCATATAAACCGATTGTCCTACACCTTTTTTGTCTTCTAATATGTAGGCTATGGACAACTTTTTCTGTATGTTTGTTATCACCTAGCATTGGATCTGCAGATCCTCCATAAACGAGAATAGTAGATAGGGTTTGTATGTTCTGGGACGCCCTTGAGCGCCGACCTTCGGTGCCAAACGACCTTGAAAGCTGACCTTCGGTGCCAACCTTGAAACGCGACCTTGAAGTGTAACCTTGAAACGCGACCTTGTTTCCGAGTGACCTTGAAGTGTGACCTTGAGTTTTCGAGTGACCTTGAAGTGTACCTTGAAACGTGACCTTGAAATGTTACATTGGAGCGTGACCTTGAATTGTGACCTTGAGTTTCCTAGTGACCCTGAAGTGTGACCTTGAACATATATGACCTCGAGCACTCTCGACCTGGAGTGGGTGCGACCTTGTGGGAGTGAACGACCTTCAGATGTAGAAGGGATGACCTTGGAAATATATGCTTAAATTGTGGAACTCACCGAGAGAAGTCAGTTCTATAGTTAAAGTGGCGCAAATGGTACGGTACTAGTGGGATGCAGAATATAATATTGGCGAAGAAAAGTAGGTGTTTAGTCTGTCAAACGGAGAAACTGTTGGAGCATGCAAAGGAGTTTCGCTTTATTCGTAGGTGGTGTTGTTGTTGGGAGACATTTTTAGTTTATTGTTGGACGTGTACTCAACACCGTCCGCATAAAATAGGGTGGATCTTCGAAACGGATGACGAAAATCATTGGTGTTGGAACTGGGACTCGCCATAGAAGTAATGTCAGTAGGGAATGGATTCCTAATTAAATGGAGTGAGCTGCAAGATGGATATAGAGTGCGATATCCATATGAATTGATATATGAAAGAAGTGTAATAAGTAATGCATATGTAGAATGGAGCGTGTGTCATGAAAGTTATGCGAGGGGTGTAGAATGGAGCGAAGACCGTTGTCAGCAATATTACTACATCGGTACCACATATGCGACGGATATGTGAATAAGCTCGACATACATAGTAAGAACTTAGCAAAGTGTTTGTACTTCGAAAGGCGAATAGCATCGAATAATATACGTAAGTGTGACAACTTTCCGCTGGGAGGCAAGCATCTGTATTGCAGCCGAAGAAAGAAAATGGGAAAGTTAGGAGGAAAAGGAGATCGAGTAAGGAAAAAAAAAATGTGTGGATAAGTTGAGAGAATAATGAGTGTAAGGTTGTAGAAGCAAGACAGATAGCTAAAAAATTCAAAAATCGGTCATTTAAGAGAAATTAGAGTGAAAAACGTGAATTGGGTTGGGTGTTATTATCTTAAAGCTATAATACTTTACAGAATCCTTAAAACCTACAACCTCACAAATAAAATCTTAAAACTAATTCCTTAAAGCTAACTCCTTAAAACTAATACACATTAGGGGCTGATATACCCCGAATCGCTGGATGCATCGTCCAGATCCCACACGAGATTGTCGTCCTGAAATGCTTCAGGAATGGCAACCTCAGGTGGGTCGTCAAGGAGACCAAGCCCGACGTGGAGCTCATCAAGCTCGACCTCAGAGTCGCTCTCGGAGGAAGATGTGTCCCCCTCGCCCTCACTCTCATCTTCGTCGGCAGACTCGATGTCGACAACGTCGTCTAACAAAGCATTGCCAACATCGGATGCAGCACCTCCCGCAATTACGGTAGAGGCTGTGCTGTCGAAGAGGAGTGGACTAGCCCATGCCATCTTCATGGACAATATACAGATCATTTGGATCCTGACCATCCATGACGATGACTGGGGAGCGACGGAATGGAAAGACGACTATAGTGAGTATATAAGGATGCTCTCCTCCTCCGTCACAAGGTTGGGAGAATTCGAGGTCATGATACTATAATGGACAAAGGAAGTATGGGTGGGCAGTAATATTCTTAAGAATGAAAGTCGAGGTCACGAAATTAGCATTGGATAAAGAATGTAAAACTTAAACGCGATCAGTAGAAGTAATAAATACTGACTGTGAATTTATGCTAGAAATCATGAAAGTCGAACGGAAGAATCCGTGAAAGTGAGGTAGGAGAGCAAATGGTTGTATATAAGTGCTCATAGTCGTACCTGTCACTGCAGTCCAAACACTTCAGGTTGAAAGCATCAGTCTTTAACATTGTGTTCTTTGTTCAATTGCAGACATGTGTTCAAGACCGTGTCTGTGTACCTTGGAAAAGAAGTGCCCGTACTGTGCATTTACGAACAGTCAGCGTCTGATTCTGGACAAACTGTTAAGGCCCCATTTACGGGTATTGTAAAATGTTCAAGTTGTACCACCACGCGAAACCGTTGACCCTTCGCTGAACGGGCACCCGCAAACGATGGTTAGTACTTCGGGGAATGATGAGTTATCCATCGCAATTGCTAGCATGAGCTCGCAAACCATGCTTAACAATTACATCGCCCAAAGTCAACAGAACTCCTCAAATGAGATCGATGTTGAGGCAGTGTTAGCATCAATCAATCCGGACATTGATATGTCTACAACGATGAATGCTTGGCCATCGTTTGAGATCAGTTTGTTGGGAGCTCAGCCAGTGCCATCCATGTCGGGAGCTACCTCAACACAGCAAGAGCCATCGGTGTCTGCCGCGATTGCGAGTGATCGATATGATGTGGACGATATACGACATTCCGACACCTACATCGAAGAGTTGCCGTTCACGCAACTTGAACGGGACGCGACAGAACGTTGGGTGGTGAATGAGCAACTCAATCGTGACACCTACATCGAAGAGTTGCCGTTCACGCAACTTGAACGGGACGCGACAGAACGTTGTGTGGTGAATGAGCAACTCAATCGTGACACCTACATCGAAGAGTTGCCGTTCACGCAACTTGAACGGGACGCGACAAAACGTAGTGTTGTGAATCAGCAACTCAATCGCGACACGTGGATCGAAGAGTTGACGTTCACGCAACTAGAACGACTCGAAACGGAACGGTGTGCAGTGAATGACGAACTTGATATGTAGAAATGGGGCAAAAAAAAACGAAACCTGCTAATAGGTCAAATCAATGTACAGCAGCTAATGTTTTTTTTTTGTGTCAGATGCCACTGGAGAACGCGAGGTGCTGAAATATATATTATATATATATAAATGAATTATGTGTCAGAAACACAGTAGATACGTGCACGCCTCACAACAAAATGTTCCAATGTCCAAAATGCCCAAGGACCTTCGCGGTGAGGAAAAGTTTGTTGAGACACTGTAGATAGCGGTGCAGCCAGGAAGGGGAGCCCGCATCCAAGCGTCCATGTAATGCAACCGCTCCACGCAGCACTGCAGACAAGTGGGAATGTCCTCGATGCCAGCAAAAATTCTCGGCACGAAAAGGTTTACTGCGACATGGTAGAGAGGTCTGCACAAGCGAGAAGAGTCCACCGGAACAACAACGTGTAGAAGGTAAAGTTACAAACAACTAAGCCAAATTAAATAACTTATATTTATGAACTTATTATTACAGACCACCACAGGACTCAATACCAGACGACTGGATCCTTCAACAGCCAACGTTGCAATACCGGGACCGAGTCGAATGAGTCCAACCACCAGCAACGACTCACAGACAAGTGCGGAAAGCAGAACAATTCGCTGTAATAGTTGCAACTGTGAGGTACCGAGGAATGCACATACAGCACATCTGAAAAGCATCAAACATAAGACACATCTATGGACACCTTTACACAATAATGTATCAGTATGTCGAAGTGCATTTCGGGGTAGAATAGTCAGTTATCAAATAACCGCTAGTATAGACACGTTGAACGTTACTGAATATATGAATAATCTTGAACATGACTCCATAAACGTGATTGAAAATGAATTGCATAAGCAAACAACGCTCAAAATAAATATGGAACTTTTTGGTTTATACAGGGTGACTTCGAAGTTGAGTCATTTATTTTAACAGTGAGTAGATCTGATCAAAAGAAATGTTTTTTTCCTTTACCATTTTTCTGGTAAAATTAAAGTAACAAAGTTATAGCCCTTTGGAAGTTTGAGTACCGCCCTGTTCAATAATACTCGTAATATCATGTGCTCGTGTTTGGCAACAACGGATATAATCCGCCTCGGTTCATCGCATCGGAAACAAAAAAGCGAAAGAATTTGGAACGATGTTTTACAATTATTTTCTTCAGTTCAGTTATACATACAGTCAGTGTCAGTCGGTAAGGCGTGTGAATAGTGTCTGTTGCGTGGCTCAAACGAAATAAAAAATGGCACATGTTTATGCGGATCGGTTTCCCAATCGAGTGCAACCAACCCCTCGTGCCTTTGTTAATGTAGTACAACGGGCTCGTGAATCAAGTGACTTAAGACCTCACAGGGGACCTCACGATCAAATACAGGTCCGCACTGAAATACTTGTCGGGAGGATACTTTATAAAACAAGGTAAAAAAATTTTTTTAATTTTTTTTTATTTTTACACACATATTTTGGTTTATCTTCCTTCTACAATCATTATCTGAAAATTAATGACTCAACTTCAAAGTCACCCTGTATATCTTACCAGCTAAAAGCCGACGAGAGGTGAAGTCCCACAATACAAACAATGTAATCATAACACAATCATCAAATTTAAAAGCAATCTATCATGATTTGGAGAGTAAAATAGATCAAAAATCTAAAGATTTTGCAGAAAAAGACTCAGGGTGGGTGTTAGAAAAGATTTTGCTGGAATGACATTTCCAGTCGCTCTCAAGTCAATATCAGAATTTGAAAGCGTGAATAACATATCAATCAACGTTTATGGATTAGAAAAGGAATTCATTGATGGGAAGCCTAAATATCAGGTGGTGGGACCGTTACACTACACCGCGCAAAAACAACATACTCATCTAAACTTATTACTTATTGATGATTCAGAAGGAAACCATCATTACTGCTTAATTACCAACTTTTCAAGACTCGTTTCAAGTCAGTTGTCGCGGAATACGAGAGTAAAGTACTTTTGTGATGGGTGTTTACAATACTTTGCCTCAAAAGAAAAATTAGAAATTCACATGCGAACCTATTGCAAATATATTTCAGTTAAGCTTCCAAAATTGGAAACGAGAGTTGATCGACTTGGAAACACGGTAATGGATAATGTACTAAAATTTGAACAGCATCACAAACAATTAAGGCTACCATTTTGCGTTTATGCCGACTTTGAATGCATTCTAGCTCCGATAGAAAATGACTCAAGCGATTCAGAGGATGTATGTACCATCAGAAAGTATGAACATAAACCATCCTCATTTGCTTATTACATCAAATGCTCATTTAATGATTCACTATCCAAATTGGAACTATATAGGGGTGAGGATGCAGCAAAAAATTTTGTTACTCGATTATAGGCTGATCTTAAATT